GCGGGGAGCGGTGAGGAGGGCGCCGTGGGGTGAAGTGTCCTGCGGGGAAACGCAGCGTCTTTGTGTTCCAGGGGAATCCGTGGGGGCAGGTGGCGTCCCCGGTGAAAGCGGATGATTTCTAGGAAAGAAAAGGGGAGCAAGTGTTGCTGCGTCTYTAATACGCGCACAGTCAAATGGAATTTAATAATATGTAGAGGAAAAAAAGCCTGAGAAGCATCAGGGAGTGCTAAACAAATTCTAGGGTGTTCTGTTGAGAATTATCATTATTTGTTTATGTGTATACATAGGAGCTTCTGCGTTCCAGGTTATTTGTGATCTGTTTGTGTTGGGACTTCAGAACTTGTCTGCCCTGTTCTTCCCCCCCCTCCCCGAGACATTTTATGGATGACTGGAAAACTATTAGGATTAAAGTAAAGAGGAAGTGAAACCCTCATTGAGGGGAAGTGAGTCATACTGTATAAAGTAACTAATTARTACCTATCTTGGATGCTGGCCCTAAAAAAGGGGCTGGTAAAATGTGCCACACTTTGTACTTCATGTAAATGTGCTGAAAATTTCAATTTAAACCCTGCGGTCTTCCGGTGAAATTCTGCCAAGAATTACAGAAAGAACTTCTCTGTTTTAAGCTAAAACAGGGAAGACTTCTTTCTAGTATATACATTTCCACAGTGCAGAGAATAAAAATAKTTCCAAATACAATGTATTTCTTTGTAATAATTTTTTTTTTAATTTTGTTTATTTATTTTTATGTCATGTTTGGGGGAAATGAAAGTTTCTTTAAGGGCAGGAACCTTTCTCTGAAGATCACTGAAAGAAAGCACARGAAGCGTGCAAAGGATGACAGCAAAAAGTAAGGTCAATAAGCAGAGGTGATGTGGGAGCACTCAGGTCTGAATATCAGATATCAAAGGACATGTCTTGCATACACAGCCAGCAGTRTTAATAGTGGAACCCTGTCAAGGCTCTGTATTAATTTTTATAGGGATCAAATACTTGCGAGTGTTCCAAGTAGATGGGTTGTAGTCTTCTTTCTGCCTGGAGTCGTAACTGTGCAGTGCTCTGAAGATGATGATGAGTAATACAGTTTAATGCCTTTTGTCTCCTATTTTGAAAATAGGTAACTGAGTGCATAACATGTACTTGTTTTAATGTGATGGTAGTCCATTCTGAAATGTTTGTTTGAAATGACTGTTTGACTTCCTGACCTCCGAACTAAGGTTTTAGTTTAGTTAGGAGGCCACACCAGAGACCATTGGGCTTTTAAAAGAGTGTAACTAAACTGCAGGATAATTTAGCTCAGTGAGCACTGTACAGGAAAGTATTGCTCAGAGGAATAACAGGAATGAACTAGTGGACCAGAGCACATCAATTCTTATTGCAAGACCAAGGGATGAAGGTAAAAGCCCACTTCCCCGACATCCTGATTTTTATGAWAAAGTGACAAAGTTGCCAGCAAGGATGACCTTAAGTTGATTTTTTTTTCATAGTAGATAAAAAGAATTACTTCTTCTTGAATATATATGCTGAGGAGAAGTATRTTGTGTATAGATTGACAAAACATTTTTTTCTGTGTTGGTAAATAAAATTAAATTGACAGGATGCAGGAAGCCTAAAATTTACCCTAAAATAAACATATATTATAAAAATTAACCTGTTTGCCACAATATATCTGTATAATACCTGTATAATCTGTATAAGTAAAATTCTCTGTACAGTTGCACATGTGGCTGGCTTGCAAATATCCAGCTCAGCAGTGTTGAAATGGTCTATTCTGTAGCTCAGTACCAAGTAAATGATTACATATTTGCTGTACACTTAGGTTTTCATATGGTCAGGTTTGAAAGTGTGCATGCAAATATTATGTTTCTAAAACACAAAAAGCTTTTTGTGTTAAAGCTTTTTTTTTTTCTTCATTTCTTATTTTCTGTTATATTTCTTACTAATTTTGAAGGCTGAGATGTCAAAGAGTATGTTCACAGTATAGGCGAGCTGCTACTCTGGGAACATGGGAGGTGCTGTTAATGCTAATGGTTAGATTTCCTTAGGTTAATTTGCTAGCATTTAGGATAAAATTAGACTGGTGATGGTGTAATTATTCATTATGATTTCTAGTAATAACAGAGATATAGAAAGGGTTTTTAAATGTTTTGGATAGCAATACACATGTGTATAATGTATATATTTTAATGTACTGACTGTAAAATGCAGGTATATTATATACCATCGATAACACCTTTAGATAGCCCTGTATGTTACATTCTTACTGTATATTCTAGAATAAATAAATGCTCTCATGATATGCCTTGTTATGGTAGGATAAACTGTTCTTGGATGGCTTGTTCATCCGTACGTGGGTATTGCATCCTGCTAGGAGTAGTTCTGRCTGAAGTGGAATAAAGTTGGCCCGTGTGCTTGTGTTTGTAGGCATATAGTTTAACTGGCTCATTTTGTTCTGTTAACCTTTTAAACGTGAAATAAGGTAGAGTTGTTCTGATTTGCACCGTTGTTGATGAAGGTGCAAGTTTGGGTAACAGAACAAAACACTAAACTAAAAGTTTGGGCTGAGCAGGAGTGATGTTACTGGTAATGTTCGTGCAAGGGTCTTTGAGCACTTCAGTCTGTGATGACTTAAATAGTCTGAAGATGATACGTTTGTTCAGAAATGCCAGTGTCTTCTAATAGCTGTTTTTTTGCAGCTAAATAAGCATTTTATTTCCTCATGGTAGACCTTTGGTAAGTAATTTAGTGATTTGTTATGGGTTGGCAAATTATCTAWGTAATATGTTTTTTTCCAGCTCTTACTGAAAATCTTTCTGGATATGTAACAATGGTCTTGTGTCAGATTTTAAACTGAGTATCAATAAAGTTGCTTGAAACCTGAAAGTTGGAAACCAAGAAGTCATCGGAGCAGCTAAGGCGGAGAGTAGTGATTTCAGTAGATGGAGAGTGGTTTGTTTGTTTGTTTTAAGTTTAGTAGTGGCTGAATCAGCAGCATTTACAGTGTGCTGTTGGAAGTGCTCCTCTGAGGCTGCAGCGTTACTGAGTTCAAACGTGTGTTCAGAACGATAATGTCAAGAGTTCAGATTGTCTGTTGTCCCAGTAATTTGGGCAATTTCAGTGATAGCAATATGGTTTAGTACAGAAGACGGTCTCAGTCTGACTTTATTGCTATGCTTTCAGCTTGAAGACTGCAATAAATCACATCTAAAAGGATATGTAGTTATGAATATAGAATGTTTTAAGGATAAAATTAAGGCTTTAAGGCTGTTGAGACTTCTGTTTTTTTTTTTTCTCTCAAGCTGTTAAGTGACTGAAAGCTCAGCACTAGTTTAGGAAGTATTTATCATAAGTTTCTACTCCAAATGCATTAGGATGTTAGTGTATTTTGTCACTGCGGTCAATCTACAGGAGTTTATGGACTTCAATCTAATGAAAGGAATGGGACTTACGTTATTTTTGTATCTACCAAGTTGTAGGTACTATTAGAACTCCCGCACTCTCGTCTGTGGACACCAGTGCTTAATCAGGTTTAATCTAGAAAAATCCCTGGGCTGTCTGGCCACGTTGCTGCCCTTCTCATGAGGTGCAGATCTTATCTGACGGCGTTTYGGACGCTCAGCAGTCAGCGTTACCTCCGCGCCCGCGTTTACAGCAGGGTAGGGCTGGTTTGGTTCCTTCTGCCCAGGCTATGATTAGACTGACCTTTTTTTAATTTTTTGCCTTGGCTTCTTTCCATCTGTCTTACTGGCCTCCTCTGCTTGACAGAATCGCTTCTTGCTGTGTCCTGGGCTGGGTTAAGGAACGGGTTTGATTATAAACTTGGCTCTAACAAGTTGCACAAACGTTGTTGCCAGCCTGCTGGGGGGCTGGTATGGGAAGGTGGAGTGAGCAGAGGAAGCAAGAGAGCCATTTGGGCACTGTTGCTGTTGAGTGCGTAGCCACATCTGAGGTATTCGGCCACTTACTAGGATTTCTGGCAAGTCTGTGTTTTGTTTTCAGAAAGACTCTTGAGTCTTTCCCTACCTCTTACCAGGCCTCCACACATCAGAAGTTCGCTTTCTGCGTAAGGGCAATAGGGCAGGTTGCAGCTGCTGTCCTGGTGCTGCAGTTGTACCTCGCTGTCAGGTCACGTGCAGACACGGCCCTTTCCCCCTCCCAACGCCTGCAGTTTGCCTCCCTTCCTCTCATGACAGTTTAAATTGAGCCACCAAGTATCCTCAGCTTCTCTGTGAATCATATTTCACATTTTCTTTATGGGGATGGTAGATTAACAGCATCCTCAAAGTTTTGCTAACTTAATAGTATATTTTTAGAGAGGATCAGTGACGTAATTTCATATGATGGTGCATAGAGAAAGTCAAGTGAACTATACAGTTCTTGTATCCTTGTTGTTTTTAGGGAGAGGCTCTTGTTTGCTTAACCCAAATTTGGAGTGGATTTTGGTTTGTGTGTATGTGTGTGGTTTTTCTTTTTTTTTTTCTTTTTTCTTTTTTTTTTTTCTCCTCTCTCTCCCCTCTTCCTCTCATGCTGCAAGGAAGTCCACTGGCTTAAGATGAGTAAACCTGTGTGTTTTATGGCTGTAATGGAAGTCAACTTTTTGAAATTGTTTGTTACAGCAGTTCTTTTACTGTGTTACTGCTACAGACATTTGACAAATATGTTGTCTGACATGGCTGGGGAAGGATTCTGGAGAATATATCCATTCATTTATGCTTGCCTGTAAAGCAGATGCATCGTTTGGACATTTCTAAAGAACAATGCAAAGTGCAGATCTTCCATAATAAAATGAATATTGTTCCTTGGTGTCTATACAGATGTACAAAGCTTATTGTCCTACTCAAAAGGTGTGGCATGAATTCCATCCTGTCAAGAATGACTACCCCGAGGTAACACATGAAACAAGATTTGCTTTGAGTGTAGAGAAGAATTAAACTGTTGTGTTGGTTTTTTTCTTACACATTTTCATGTTTATTTCATGATCTTAAATTAACTTTTTTCTTCGCATGTTGAAGAAATTGGAAGTTGAACAGTATCTCAAAGTATATTTCTAGTGTTGGTTGTGTTCTTTGAGACATGTTGGACAATTTCTTTCAAAGAGGGAAAGGATCCATCTGTGTGGAATATACAACCCAGTAGAAACTCCTTRTTCTGGGAACTGGCACACGTTTGATATAAAGTAATGTCTGTACAGTATAGGTCTGTATTTAAACAAGCCCCGCTCCTATATTTGCTCCAGGGAAGGTTAGGTTGTTCAGAGTGATTCAATTCTTGCACTATAGGCTGCTTTATTTTCTTTCTTTTTTCTTTTTCAGTAAATTGTCCAAGTTTTTTGGAATGCCATTCCAAATTCTTTGGATGCATGCCATTGCTTATGCTTTGCTTGTTTATTTTGATGAGATACTTTGTTTACTCTGTGTAAATCTGTGAGAATGATGGAACCTAAGGCCTGGTAGTAAAGCAAGYTCAGTTCTGTTTGATTTCATAGTGCTGCTACATGTGCCCGCTGTAGCAGCAGGATGTAGATGGGATGAGGGGGAACAAAAAAAGCCCCCCTAAGAATTATCCCCAGTCCCTACACGTATAGCACAAAAACAAAAAAAAAAGGTTAAAATAAATACAGCACAAACAAGTGTGAATTCACATCAAGCAGAACTGTTAATAGAAACTGAAAGGTAACAYTGGTGTTCAGTAAACTATCTGGTGGCGTCGGCCTACATCCAGAATGTGCATCACAGCAGCACGAGACCAACTGGTGGTGGGCAACCTTTTAGTTAAATGATTAAACATTATGGGGTTTAAGAGGTATCTCAAGAAAATTCTCTGTAATTGGACAGAAATAATGCTTAAAAAGCATAGGTAATGAGACAAAATCTGAAAGCAGCATTCACTTTTTTATGATTGTTGTGGATTTGATGAAGTGGATCAGGATCATATCATTTTTGATTCCTGTTTTGTGTCCTTTCTCAATTTCTAGATTTTTTTTTCAAAGTATATAACCTGTTATGCTTTTGCTTAGTTTAAAATGCTGTATGCTCGATGCTGTTTTTTGTAATATACTTTGGTCTGTGAAGCAGAAATGTTTTCTTTGAAGGCTCTGTATATTTTAACAACTAAAAGAATGCTCAAATGGTTTGGGGTGGATCTTTTTTGGACTTTTTTGAGCTTTTTGTCATGAGAACTTTTAGATATAGAGTACAAATAGTTTTGTGATGACAGTGCGTAGTTGTTGTTTCAGAACAGAAATTAATCTTTCAGGATGTTCTGTGTTGGTTCCTTCATTGCTCTTTAGGCTTATTCTATTTATTACTTTGATTGCTTTTCATATACCTGACAACAGCAGGTAGACCAACTTGAATAAAACAATGGAATCTAATCTGATCTGTCCATGTGGAAGAAAGATGAATGTTTTCTTCTTAATGCAGCCTCTTGACTGCTGACTTTTTTGTTTTCCCTACTCAGCTGATCACTGGTGCAATGGAAGAAGCTGGGTCTCTGGAGACAGGAGCGAATACCCAGGGTCAGATGGTGAACAGCAAGTGCAGCGAGTTGCCTGATGCAGCACTGCAGCGTGCACAATCCAACTGTGATGGTGTGGAAGAAGCTGAGTATATTGCCAAGAACAGAAAGCTCCCGGGATCCACGTGCTGCTCTCGGGAGTCTCGTGAGGAAACTCCTGGGAGGGAAGAAGTCCGAACTGATCCGCCTGATGGCCAGCAAGATCCAGAGAGTGAAAAAAGCAAAGAAAAAACTTTAGGTATTTCTTTGGCATTTTGGTTTTCAAATCTTAAATTATTTAATTTCAAAGATTAGTTTCAAATAGCTTAAATATTTTGATAAGATGGTTACATTTTTGTCTAAGTGTTCATCTCAAATTTATTTTGTATCCAGTCTTTCTCATCTGTAGCAGGGTACTCCGAGGAAATGAGTACTACTGGTTAAAGAATGATTATTAATATAAGAGTTCTTCTGTTGGTACTGTTATTTTTATAACAGTTTGAAACATTAATATTGTCATTACTACATGAAGTACAGATTCTGTAAAGTGACGGTRAGGTAGGTTAAGAACTAGCTGAACTATTGGAATCAGAGGGTTGTGATAGCATGAAGCTCAGCTGAAGACGAGGGGTCAATCCCAAGGCAAATAATGCCTAACACTTGCATTAATGATCTGGCCAATGGTAGCAAATGCACCTTTGGAGAGGTTTTGGATGGTAGAAAACTGGGAGGAGTGGCTGACACACGGGATAGTTGCAGTGCCTTTCAGAGGGACTTTGACAGGCTGAAGAAATGGGCAACCTCATGAAGTTCATCACAGAGAAGGGCTAAGCCCTGCACGTGGGCAGGAATGATCCCTTGCACCAGCACATGCTGGAGGTTGAGCAGCTGGAAGTTCCCCTTCCAAAGAAAGATGAGGGAACGCTGGTAGACACCAAGCTGGACATGAGCGAACAACATAGCCGTATGGCAAGGAAAGCCAAGGGCATCCTGAGCTGCAGTAGGCAGAGCRTGGCCAGCAGGTYGAGGGAGAGTCTCTTTCCCTTCTGCTCAGCCCTCGTGAGCCCACACCTGCAGGGCCGAGTCCTCTGTGGGCACCCCAGTACATGAGGGACTGCAGCACAGGGCCACTAAGGTGCTGAAGGGCCTGGAGCATCTRTCATGGGCAGAGAGGCTGTGAGAACAGGGACCACTTAGCCTGGAGTAGAGAAGGCCCCATCAGTGTCTAATCAATACTTACAAATACCTGATGGTGCATTTTAAAGAGGTTGGATGCTGACTCTTTCCAGTGGTACCTGGTGACAGGATGAGTGGCAACAGGCACAAACTGAAACACAGGAAGTACCACCTGAACATGAGAGAACCTTTTTCACTGTGCAGGTGGTTGAATCTTGGAATCTTGGCCCAGAGCAGTTGTGGAGTCTCCATCTTTGGAGATAGTCAAAATCCAACTGTGCACAGGCCTGAACAGCATGGCTGTTGTAGGTGACCCTTCTTGAGCAAGGGGGTGGACCTAGAGAGATGCCTTTCAACCCAAAGTGTTAGTGTCTTTTTGGCAGATTAATATTAAAATCGGTGATTGCTGTATTCAATGCTATTATGAGGATATTGGCAGAACTATATATTTTACTTTTTTTATCTTTATATGTGATATTATAAATTATACTTCTTTTTTTTTTTTGTTAAGGTTAAGGTTGCTTTCACTGAGTTCTATAATAGTGTGTAGTCAGTGGTGCACAGCCAACAGTCATATATTTCTTTCTTTCTGATGGGATCCCATTTTTCCTCCCTTTATCACATACCATACAGCTATGAAACCAGAATGCACTTTAAATCACATAGTTGCCCTGTTCTGCAGTTTGCTTCTATGAACAGGCTGTTTTTTCTGTGTTGTGGTGGTGTTTTTCTCTCAATATAGTYGTCTCCTATTCCTTTCATAGGAAAGGAAGTGCTGTTACTAATGCAGGCCTTGAACACACTTTCTACTCCAGAAGAAAAGTTGGCAGCTTTGTGCAAAAAGTATGCTGATCTGGTAAGTAGTTTGTGAAGGTAGCAAGAGTTGCTTGTTTGTTAATATTAACTGTTGGATTTAAAAGCTTTTAATGCAAGACAATTTTTCAAATGTTTCACAGCATTAGAAAAATGATGCRCACTCAAGCTTCTTATACTGCTTTAGCTAAGCTTGTACATGGTCATTTCACTTCTACATGACTGCATAAACCCAAAGAAAAATTAGACTATGATAACTTTCTCATAACTTAGTACTAAAGCATAACATTAAGATGAACAAAAAAAGCTAAGAGTTTGTTTAATTGGAATAATTAGCATTTTCCTAATTTTTGCGTGGTGTGTTAGCTCTCATGCTAGCATTTTGTTATTTACACATTTTGGGATAAATGAGAGAACAATGTGGTAGAGATCTGAAAAAAAAAAAAGGCTTAATTATGCTTAGCTACTTAACTGTTTATATTCCAAGCCATTTTTTGGAAGCTGAAAAGATCTATGTATAGTTTTTCCTTTATGTTTTCCGATCATAGTGTTTTTTTAATCCACTTGTTTGTATCTCTTTCCTTATTATCAAACCTAGAGTAGAGCACTAGGCAGAGCACTAGCAGAAAGTTGTCATAGAGAACATTCCCATGATGAGGAGTAGTATAAAATATATTTTTCTCTCAAAACTGACTGGAGTCAAAAAAAAAAAAAAGGCAGCTGGCTCATGATTTTACTTTTCAGAAGGAGTCTGGAGACTAAAGTACTTCAGATGTTCATCTTCAGACAGGGACATCCAAAACGAGAAAGACTGGAAATACCGCGTATATGTTTTCTACAACGTTGGTAGATGTAAGATGAATACAGAAGTAGATAAGAGATACCCGAGTAGCTTAAAAAAGGCATATGGTTTGTCTTCTGTAAACCAATTGTCAAGTGTTTTATGCCTGGAAATGTTTCTGAAAACCACATAATGTTTGCCAATATAGCATAATTTTASTGAAGATTTTTTTATTTTATTTTTGTTTTGAGAGGAATACTGTCTCTCTCCTAGCTCATTCTCAAAGCTCTGGAGACTTCTGTTATTACTGTTATGAAGTAATAGTCTCTTAAAAACAGCATTAGAATATCCTAGACAAAGGTAACCTTTCTTATAGGTCTAGGGGTTTGTTTTGGTTTCGTTTTCTTTTTCCTCGTCATTTCTTGCTCTCATGTGTTGGGATGAATGAATTTTCCTCARGCCCAACAACTCTTCTAGGATAGTGGCTTATCACTTTTGCTTCTTTGAGAAATTAGGTTTTTGTAGTRCAGTTCAAGGACCGAAGGTCCACGTTAAAAATGAACTTGGATATTGTGAGAGAAAATGCAGTAAACAAGTTAGAAATTTTGACCAACTCTTAGTGGATGTAGCGCCTTTTCTCGTTGAGCAGACAGTTTCCACAGTGATCATAATGGCCTATATAAGCAGTTAGTTTGAGATGAATTCCTCACACATAAAGAAAATAGACTTTCTGCATCACCTTCAGCTTGCATGAATTTATTTATGTTGAAGGAAACATCTCAAACTAATTAGGAGAGCAGCTAGACTGAATGAACTGTAATCTCTTGGTATGTTTTTTTCAGTCCATGGAAGTTTGGCCATCAGGAGAGATGTAGTCAGTGCTGTGGTTTTCGAGTTTTTCTGTTGGTGGTGGTCTTTGTTTGTTTTTTTTTGTTTTCCTCCCTCCCAGAAGAAGGTCCACAATCTACAGTGAGAGCCACAGTCTGGACAACCAGCTGATTTCCCTGTGATGCTCAGAGCCGCTGGGAAGAGGGTGGGAGCTCCCACTTGTCCGGGTGTAATAGAGACCCCATTTTAGCTGACTGAGTCTTAGGGGTATTTTGTTACCCTTAGAAAGGTCTAGTTTTATCCAGTTGTCCTCCTGTTAAGACGCATTCTTTTCGTCAGGATGGTGAACCACTGGCATAGGTGTCAGTTCTAGTGCCAGCAGAGGTTTGAACTGTTTATGACAGTGCACCTACAATGCTTTTTTTCTTTTTTTAAAGATTCATCATCTTTAAAGCTCACTATCAGGTTTTTCAGTGGTGTCTCATGAAAAGGACTGTACAATTAAGGTAGGAATGCCTCTCTCCTGGCAAAAGATCTTCCACATTTTTTTTCCTATTTTGGAATCTATAAGAAGATCAGTTTATGATGCAGAAAAGTTTGCGTCCTTGGTGATATGCATCTCAGACAGGAGTAGTTTTACAGGACTGTCTGAAGTTCATATGTATGCAAACAGGACAGCCACCCGAAGTGTTTTTCRTGCCACCTAAGAAAAGGGCTTTTGTGTTTGAATGTCAAAACATTTCCTAAGAATTCCTTCGTTCTAAACCAGATGAGCTATGAATGTAACTTACTRTCATGGAGGTGCCTAACTCTCTCTTCTGTATTTTTGTCTGCATTTTGGCATTATTTTGAGCTCTTTCAGAAAACCATTGTTGTGTTCTTCTCTGTCATCCTGGTTGCCAGCCTTCCTTTCCTGTGTTGCCTAGAGGCTGAGGCACTATCTAAGAAGGAGCAGCATTACACTTAATGTTATGATTACCTTCTTTACAATAGAGCAGACTCTTTGTAAATAATATGGTTTCTTGGGGAGCCCAAAAAAAGTCATACTTAACGGAACTTAGTCTTACCCTCCTCTCCGAGCAAGAAAATCTCTCCTTCATTGGATGTTCGTAGAACACATTTTGTGCTATATGCAGAGTTTACTGCTCTACCTTCTCTAAACTGTCTAAAGGAAATGGATTTAAAATTGTGATTCTGAATAGACTCAGTAGTAAAAGCMACTCACCTATCTAGCTAACAACATGTAATTTAGCTAACTACCTATTRGCTAAACAGTTGTTTGTACCTAAAAGAGAATGAAAAATAACGTGACTTGCTGAAGGCAAGACCTTTGAGCACAAAGATCTTTTATATAAGATATTTTTGGCCAGAGAGTAAAAAGGCTGTACTTCAAATTAGCTTGTAAAACTAATGTTGAGTAACACTTCATGTTATTGTTTCTGCAGCAAAATAAAATTCTAATGGACTGATAGTTGCTGGATTTTTGATCTGTTTTTAATGTATATACCACATTACTTTTTTTTCCTCAGGGCTAGTCCTACCCCAGTAGCTGAGAACAAGCTCATAGCCTCTGGTCAACAAGTCCRTGGCTCCTTTTCAGCAAAAGCAAATGCTTGACAAATTGGAGTTTGTGGGGGATTTCTTTCTTTGGTTGTTTTTTCCCCTCTATCCTTAGATATTTAGAAATGCATGTAGGATGATGGGAGTCTTTGTAGGAGCAACTTTTAGGGGGGTCTTAATGAAATACATCTGCAATGTTTTACAGTTTGTTCAATCTTCTTTAAACTGCTTGTCTGTACACGTAGAATCTAATCACACACATTTTTATTTAATAAATATACTCTCTACCTTTAGTTGGAGGAGAGCCGGAATGTTCAAAAGCAAATGAAGATTCTGCAGAAGAAACAAGCACAAGTTGTGAAGGAGAAAGTCCACCTGCAGAGCGAGCATAGCAAGGCCATTCTGGCACGTAGCAAACTGGAATCTCTCTGCCGGGAGCTTCAGCGTCACAACAAGACATTAAAGGTTAACATACATAAGTTGCAAGGCGGGAGAGAAAAGGAAGATCCCTATGTCTTGATTACTGTTTAATTACAGAAGTACTCTGTTTATTTAGCTTTTTGTCCATTATGGGTATATATTTTCATAAAAGGTATGGTGTGGGGGATGTTAGCGTAAGGGAAGATTCTATAACATCTAGATTCTTCATTCCATGTACTTCCCACTCGGCATAGAATGATGAATTTGGTTTATATTAACTCTAAAAATTGAGACTATACAGAAGCAAGTTATTACCATCGTTTCTAACTCAAATATGGAAAAGTGCATGTTTTGGCCTGAGCATGATTAATATTATTTCATAAAAGGAAGAAAATATGCAGCAAGCACGTGAGGAGGAAGAAAGACGTAAAGAAGCAACTGCACACTTCCAGATTACACTGAATGAGATTCAGGCTCAACTGGAACAGCACGATATACATAATGCCAAGCTCCGTCAGGAAAATATTGAACTGGGAGAAAAACTGAAGAAGCTCATTGAGCAGTACGCTTTGCGAGAAGAGGTGATTATGCTCCTGATAGGGGCCTCTTAGTTCCTTCACTGTAGGGATCTTACAGCTATTTAATAGATGGACTATAGCTATTTAGGAGGTGGGTGGGGGACATCTAATATTTTATACCTATTATGTGCGTAGTGTAGATTGTTGTTTTTATTTCATACTTAGAAATTGGCTCAAGCAGCTACTTCATTTTTCTGTCTTTTCAGTCTGTAGTTTATTAAAGTTGCATTAAAAAAACAACAAAAAAAAAACACTTTCACAATGAAAGTGGTCAAATAAAAGCAAGTTGTGTGGAGGCTGTGGAACCTCTGTCTTTGGATATACCCAGAACTCACCTGGAGAAGGTGTGAGCAATCTGATCAAACTTGAGAGTTGTTTTGAGCAGTAGTCTGAAGTAGGCTGTGTCCAAAGGTTTTTTCCAATCTAAATATACATTTAATATTTGAAAGCAATTTTTCATTGTAGTTTGTATTAGAGTTAATCTAAATGACCCAAAACAAATAAAGATATGAAATATCTTTTGGCAAGCTCCTGTATTGTATAAGCACAGGTTGCTGGCATTCAGTCATCTTGACCTGTCGTTCTCTAAGAGTGCATCTGTTTGAGTTGGCCACGTGGAGCAACTGTATGTTGAGGCTAATGGAGCTAGTTTTCTTTAGCACCAATGAGTGCAGTAGACACCTCAAGCCAGAGAAGTGAAGTACCTCAGGGGCTGGCCAGTTCTACCTGTCAGAGAGTGCTAAGTCTCATGGAGTTCTGTGTCCAAGGTTAGTGTTTATTCTCAGTAGACACAAGGGTATTTTTTTTTTTTTATCTTTAAATCTTAATCAATTGGAAAGTTCACTGCGGGCTCTAGTTTCCCACCTTCTGTGATGGTAGAGCGTTGGTAGCTGCTGTGAGATGATTTAGGAAAGAGGCAGGAAGCTGCTGTCTGCTCCTTAAGCAGCTTGAAGTAAAACTATGTGGACATTTGATTATATGTAGAATTTCATCAGCCATATAGCTGCTCCTTAGCAAAGGATTGACTCAGGTTTTTAATTATGAGGACTAGAGCTTTAAAAAGTAGTATCTGAAGCACAGTAAGGTTAAAAGCAGATACTAACTTTTGAAGAAAGAATGCAAGGTTTCTTTTGTTCTAGGATTTTTTTTTGAAGCATCTATCTGTTGCTCCATGTATATTTGTGTGTTTTGTTAGTTTTAACAAATTTAATAAAATAGCTTTATAACCAAAACTTCCATAAAAGATTGGGGATGGTAGGATGGGGAAGCTTAGCTGTAATAAAAGGAAATGAAAGGAGGAGAAAATTCATATGCCAAACAGCCTTTTGCTGATTTTTTGCATGGAACTTCTCAAGAATTGTCATTTTCTTCCCTGCTACTCTGTACTGTCTTCTGTCCACTGTTCATGTTTCACTAACCTGATTTTTTTTTCTTTAGCATATTGATAAAGTGTTTAAACATAAAGAACTGCAGCAGCAACTTGTGGATGCCAAACTTCAACAAACTACTCAGCTTATAAAAGAAGCAGAGGAAAAACATCAGCGAGAAAGAGAGTTTGTAAGTGAATGCTGCRTATGTTAGAGAAATAACAAAAAAAAAAGTTGACTTTTCAAAATATGAAGAAAATATAGTGGGAAGCAAACTGAGGCTAGTGTATTCTTAAAACTAGAATAGCTTTCAACATTAAGGTAGAAGTGTTTCTTTTTTTGTGTATATATTGCTTACAACGCACATGTGCACAGGCAACTAGTGCTGCAATTTGCATTTCCTCAACAGATGTGCGGGCTTTAGTTAGTTTGTTTGTTTTAAACTAGGAATGATTTAAACACCAAGGGATGCTTTTTTCTTCTGGCTAGGGATGCTTTTTTCTTCTGGCTCTTAGTTGTGTTGTAGGAAAAAAGCACAAAAAAGTACAATGTAGCAAAAGCAGAATAAAACATTTACTCTTCTAAACTGTTTCCAAAAGTATGCCTTATACTGATGATATAACTGCATTTTGATTGTTAGTAACTTACCTGTGGTCTTTCAAAAAGACCACAGTTTAAAAACCCTTAGGATTTTTTTTAAATATGCACTGAGTTGTARCCACTAGGAAAAAGGTCTTGTTTTTTCTTGTGTATTCTTAAAGTGGTGGTCCACTGCAAGGACTGCCCTACATTGGTAGACAATAGCTTTGGCGTCATAAAATGAGGAAAATCTCTTCCTTACGTAAGGGTGGTCTCAACTATATTGAAGTAATCTGTAGGGATAATGAGATAATGTCACGACTTTAGAAATAGTCATGGTTATATAGCTTTTAGTTCATCAGTGAAGTGCTTGCATAATTTTAGCTGTTCAAACTTGCTAGCAAAATACAAACAAATCATTCTACCAATCAAAAAAAAAATCAATAAAGGCAATTTCTTTATGCTATCATGAGCTTCAAAATAATTAACAACAAAAAAAAGTGAATGACTCATAGGTGTTTAGCTTTTGTTTTTTGAAATGACCTGCTTTATTAAAGTTTACTTTTTTTTTATTACAGATCAAGTTCTTTTAAGCCATTTGAAATGCATATTTGTTTTTATTTTGTGCTTCTTACAATTGGCAGTAAATCCATTAATTCTTTTTTTTTTTTTCCTAGCTTCTAAAAGAAGCTACTGAGTCCAGACACAAATGTGAACAGATGAAGCAGCAGGAAGCCCAGCTGAAACAGCAGGTAATTTTATCTATATATATATTATATATATATATGTAATATATATATTATATATTATATATATATTTATTATATATATATAAAATAAATATATATAATAAATATATATGTATATATATATATTTTTTTTTTTTTGTGGAGTCATCTTCAGTACAGTTGTTCCAAAATGAAATTATCAAGACTTGTGGAGTGGTAAAATGTAGCACTTAACCATGCAATTTTTGCATATTGTTCACTCATCAAATATAATCTCCTTTTTGTGAAAAATACTTGATATTTTTAGTATAATCTTCAGTAAGCAACTCCTCAAGAGTGAGCTATGAAGTATAAGTTGTAAAGGCTTGATGTTTTGTAGTTGTCGACCTCTGGAAAGTACCATTATTAAAGATGATAAACATGGAATTGCTGGAGTTTGTATTCTTAACATTAATAAGACTAGAATGAGTGAAAGCTGAAAAATCTCTTCATTGTGACTACTACTTTACCATGCCTTGCATTTTTTAATGCTGTTGTCTCTTCCAAATTATTTCTATCCTTTTTATGATTGTTCAGGACCAGACAGGCCCTTGTGACTGACAAGAGTTGGGTGGGTTTTCCTATGTGTGTTTCACCCTTTCTTCAGCAAGAAAGGGAGCAAATATTASATAGCAATCTATCTAGTAATTCACACTCAGGAACCTAAAACWGAGTGTCTCTGTCTACCAGTTTCACTGTCTTCAAATTCTGTTCCCTCTGGTAATGGTACAGACAACTTTTCTATGATGGAGAGGTGGTCTGCAGTGACTGTGCTGCTGTTCTGGTGACCTGCAGTCTTTGGCTCTGTTAAGGCAAAGGAAAATGCTCATTTAAGCTAATGTGGTGGCAGCTGAGGAGCAGCAGCTGCTCCTTTCAACTTGCACCTTAAGCAACTGCCTTGCCTCTTGTCCGGATACAGAGGCTGGTGTCAAACTCTTTCAAATTTATAATCCTTTTATTTAAAGTCTGTTCCTAGTGCTTTCATTTTATTTACAACACACGTGCAAGTGYGTGCGCACATGCACACTTTTTATGGTAGTAATATAATTTGAGGTTTGTTTAGGACAACAGACCTTTGTACTGTAAGATGAGCCTAGGAAGTGCAGGCGAATTGCAGAGTCATGACTACTGTTGACAAGCTAGGCTAATTCCCGATTCATTCTGTCATTAGAGAAAAACATTATTTCTGTGCTCTGACTGTTACTGTGCTAGAGCTAGAACATCCTCCCCCTGCACCGTGTAAGAGCTGAGAGAAATGATCAGCTCTGACGAGTTTGTTCAGGTAAAGCAGAAGGTCACCAGTAGGTGGTTGTGGCATTTCATAATTGTCTGTTGTCAGAGCATTAGATTATATAATGCTGACTTATTTCTAGGTTTATCTCCTGTATTAAAACTTACTGTTTGAAAAAAAATACACTGAATAATATATTTTGCTGTTCCCCATAAATGACTTTGTTGTATAATGTTGTATACTTTTCTCTTGTTAAATACCAATACTTTCCACTAGTTAATTTTAACACTTTTATGTGTTACTTTTTTTATTTATAACAGTTTATGAATATGACTCTTGACTTCCAGATGAGTCGGCTTTTAGTTTTTTTTTTTTTTTTTTTTTTATTTTTTTTTTTTTTTTTTTTTTTATTTTTTTTTTTTTTTTTTTTTTTTTTTTTTTTTTTAAATTTCATCCTCATGTGTTAGCCCTGGTTGCTTGGGAAAATGGGAAGGATGGTAATTCAAGTTTCACTTCACTTCTCACACTTGTAACAGAAATAGAATTCTGGTTAAAGACCACAAGATTTTTTTTTTAATGAGGAAGCAAAAAATGAGATAGCTGTGATTAAATGTGTTATTTTTCAACATTTTATTGAATTGGTGTGATATTCTTTTCTTTAAAATGTATAATGCTGTGTTAGGAACCTGGATCACTGCTCATATATATGTCTGTGTTGTGTGTGTGTGTATATACACACACGTACACGCATACACTTTGAATAGCATGTTCATGCTTCTGCTTGCTCATCAAATGAAAATTGTAGCACAGAATGAGAAAACTACAAAAAAGTTGCGCTTTCATCATTTTGAACTTAAATTTCCTCCTGTACCTTAATGAGTATTTCCATATGGAAATACAGACGTGTAGGATAATGTTCCTGCCTTTTTTCAACAGCTTTCTCTGTACATGGATAAATTTGAAGAATTCCAGACCACCATGGCAAAGAGTAATGAACTCTTTACGACATTCAGGCAGGAAATGGAAAAGGTATTTAATATATTAGACCTTCATGAAACTTAATAAAAGAATATATGCTGTTATTAGGATGCTTTTTGAATTTCATTACAACACTTGCCTTCTAAAATATCACCTTGAAGGTACAGAGTATTTTCACATTTAATTTGGGTCATAAGAGGCAATAGGGATTTCTCATATCAGGAAAGAGAAATAAGATGTAACCTTTTTTATTTAATATTTTTAATATTTACATAATATCTGCTTCCAAATTCTACTGTAGTCAAAGTAGTGCCTAGTCAAAGGCAATAGGAGTTGCTTGATTTTTGTCTGCTGTGCTTCAGTTTTAAAACATTCTTGGACAGTTTTATCTTGAGGAAGATTCATAATCTGTTTCTTTCTGGAATCAATGTTGTCTTTGAATTGCAGCCTCCGAATTTGTGGGATTGATTTGGTGCAGAAAGACTTTTCTGTAAAAAATAACTTGTAATATTACTTCTGAAGTCCAGTTTGAACAAAAAGTCAGAACAGTAATATATACTTACGTCTATTACAATGCAAGCCAAAAAAAGTAAGCCTTCTATTTGCAGATGACGAAGAAGATTAAGAAACTGGAAAAGGAAACAATAGTGTGGCGCACAAAATGGGAAAACAACAACAAGGCTCTTCTGCAAATGGCCGAGGAGGTGAGTGATCATCACCGTGTGTGTTAAGTGATCACCGTGTGGTGAGTGATCATCACCATGTGCCTAAACTGGAGTCTACGTTCCCAAGAACGTGTTACGCTTTCTCAGTTTTGAACGAAAACACTACAGTCTCTTTGAACAAAAACACTGCTCTCCGCTGCATGTTATGGATTCTGTTATGTTTTCTGTTGTGTAAATGGGCTGCTCTCCTCCCAGAAAAAGAGAAAATGAGTTTCGCTTTTCAGAGATTTGCCTGACACGCAACGTAGCCATCTTCCCCTGCTCGCTATTGCAACTATATCGTTGGTGCGATAGTGTGTATGAAATTATGCAAGCTAAATGTATCGACAGGTATCTAATCTGTAGGGCAAAGTTCTGACAGTTCAGTCTTAGAAGTTTGCTTTTAAATATACAATCCTTACCTGACAGAAATGACCTCTGAGACGTTTCTTACATTGCTGCTGCTCTTGAGTTCATGAGGTGCCATTATATCTATTTACTCTCCTGTAAGAGAAGCTAAAAATATTTTTACACAGGCCTTGCACATACAGTTCTGATTTGTTTCCCTCTATTTTCTAATTTCTAGTTGAGGTATGTTAATACCTTACTAGAGAATACCAAATTGTTCCCCCAAGTTCCTYTGTAACTGCTCAGCCTTTCCTATTTTCTGAAGGAGTTAGTTGTGTGATCACGAGCACAGTAACTTCTGTCTGTAACAGCTGCTGGGTTCTAGATTTCTACCTGTATTCCTTCCTGCTCCCTGCCTTGCAGTAACTTGGGATGGAGTATTAGAGTGCACTCAAGTACTCTGGTCAAACTTGTTTGAGCACAGCTAGCATTTGGCCTGTGAGGTGCGTTAGAACTTGATCTGCAKAGCTAAACAGTGGTGATTCTTTTCATCAGGTTAAAAGAAAAACACACTTGATTGGATCACAAATCTTCTGTTTTCTTTTGTCCCTCAGAAAACAGTAAGAGATAAAGAATACAAAGGTTTTCAAATAAAACTGGAGCGTTTGGAGAAGCTTTGCAGAGCTCTTCAGACAGAGAGGAACGAGCTGAACGAGAAGGTGGAAGTCCTTAAGGAACAGGTTTCCCTCCGGGAGGCAGACATGGATCTAGCTGTGCAGATGCTGCAGTCCTGCACGCTCGATTCCCACAAGGAGCTGGGAACTCCCACTGATGTGGAATCAGGGATCCAACCTGATGTTGACCCACGCGTAGCAAATAGCTCTGAAAAGACTGTCTCGACAAGTCCTGTTCCTGGCACTGAATCTGTTGACTAAAGTGAAGTGTAAACACTGTATTGAGAGATATATTTTGTGTATAACTTTCTCTGTTGGTGGTAACTATTGGTTTTGTGGTGAAAATTTTCTTACTTTTTCTACCATATCTGTATTTTCTTAGAACTACTGGACTTATGTGGTACAGGAAGCTGCCTAGCAGCTTTAAATAGCTTAAACTATAAATTTTTCACAACTGTGTTGCACATCTGCCTCATTTTTTTAAAAGAAAATATTTTTCCATAAAACGATGCACGTGTTTCCTCCCCACAACACAATCACTGTCATTGAAGACTGTCAGATGCGACATTGTTTCAGGGGATGATAGTGGCAGCGTGTCACGCTCTTGGTTTGAAGAACAGTATTTTGTTTCTGTTTATGGAGTTGCCGCTCAGTGTACTGATGACTGCCCATTTCTTCAGTGAGTTGATTTACATTGGGATGTCTGATGGCCAGTAAAAACTTCAGTTTTCTCCCCTAGTATATTTTCATCTATATCAATGAAAAAGTGTGGGTCCAGAATATAGTACAAGTTCTGTTAGGGGATTCAATGTACTTTGTGATGTGGAAAAAAACCAGCTTTGAAACACATGGATTTGCAGCTGGTGATACAGGGTGCGCAACTTCTTGCGGATTTCTCAGGGTTGTGTTGTACAGGTTGGCTTGGACTATTTGCCCTGCCTATGAACAGATTACATACAGATGTGTGAGGAAGTGTTGAACGGTGCTACGGAGGGGAACTTCGCAGTTGTGCATCCTGTTGGGTAGATGTTGGTCACATTCTTCCCTCTGGAGTCCAGCGTGTCCATAACCAACCAGGTTATGGATTTGGGCTAGAGAGATCTTTGGCCTATGCGCTTCTCGCTGTCTTACCTGAAGCTGTGGAAAATGAATGTTTGCTGCCTGATTTATGCAAAGAGAGGAACCTTTGGTGTACAGGCTTCTCTGACTGCCCTGTATGCTGTGTATTTCACATCAGCTGAGTATTCCGGTTATWACCGAACATGTAGACTCGTATATTTTTCCCAAAGTACAATGTGAAGCTTCTTGCATGCTCAACCTTGAAGCTGTAGCAGTTGGCAGGTGCCTTGCCAGTTACCTGGTAGAGATGGTACTTCATCCACTCTGTTCAACATGGTCCTTTGGTAGCGCTTAAGCCACATATCTTTCCATGGCAAACTTGATACCTGCGTTTTGAGTTATCTTCCAAGAGAAACCAGGACCAACAATTGCTTATTTTATTTTGGCAAGGCAATGTGTTTAAATAACCATAAGCTACCCTTAACTTTAGCACACATGCAGTCGCTGTCTAGTTTTGATTGCTGTCRTTTTGATAAGTCTGAAAACGTGTAGCCTTTTCTGGTACTTAATGTTCTTTGCACTTACTTGGGAGATTTCCGAGTCGAGCACATCTCTTAATGAGCTTCCCACCCTTGTTGCCCTTGACAGTTCAGTGGCTAAATTTACTTGAATGTTCAGGCTGCACTGAGYTCCTGATCCTTTTTCTGTTGTAATGTACATTGAAATAATGTGGCTGTCTCTTAAAGAGAATAAAGTTCCGTGGGGCCTAGAAAGGGGATGTTGACTCGACCTGCTGAAGGGAACATGCAGACCCGACCCTTCGGAGTTGGGGGAGTGARGGGGGAGATTCCCGGCTTTCTCGTGGGTTGGTGCAGTGTCTGTACTTGTGGTCCAAGCACGATGCAGGGTTGGAAAGAAGGGAGCAGGGAGCAGTCAGCCGAGTTGGGCTCGGAGCTTTGATATGTTAATCACATTAACCGTATGGCATGTGTATTGGAAAGAAGTCTTTCAGTCTTGCTCTCCAAATGACTTGCTTTGTAGAATCAAACTGTTTAAAAATGGTTACTGCAAAAGCTGGTTTTCAGTAACACTAAGCATGAAAAAATTTTCCTGAGGGAAAGTGTAAAACTTTGTATATGATGCATCGTACCCTTGGCAAGGTAGRACATGCAGTTTTCTATTTTTACAATTTATTATTTGAACATTTGTATCTTTAACAATTCTTTCTATCGTGCTTGTTCTATATGGAAGTATGGACCCTGCTGCAAGAATATTTCAAAGGGCTTTTAGAGATATGTGACATGTATAGAACAGCAATACAATGTATTTGTTACTGACTTGATATGTAAGCAAAGCGAATGCCCCAAGTAAGAGGCTTTTAAAATGGGGATATCTTCTCTCTCCTACCTGTGACATTATCCACATCATATCAACTTTCCATCTGGCCAAGGTGAGCTCTACTTTGCTTCCTGAAACCAGTTGATACTATTTTGTGATTTGCTTGAAGAGTGCTGCTTAAATTAAAAATAAGAAAATACAAATTTTAAAAGGGAAAGTTCAGCGCTCAAACTGATCTGCCATACAGCAGGCTATTGCACTGCCAGTCTGCAGCCAAATTGGCTCCAGTGGGGTTTTAAGATAAACTTGTATTAATGCCTTTCTTCCACTACCATGAACTCTTTAACCGGGGCTGTAACTTTACAGAGCCTGAAATGAGGGTGTCTGATGGCYGGAACTTGGGGGCCTGACTGAGAGTTTCACCATGATTAAGCTGCAAAACTAAATCCTACGTGATGCAAGTCCCAAGTCTGTGTGTGTGTACACAAGTGAGTTAGGGCTGTGTCTCTGATGTGTTGTCCTTCCTCTCATTACACTTACACCTGGTTACGTTACAGTTCAATTCTCAGGTGTTGCAGAAAATCTACCTCTTTGGACTGTAGATGGAAATAACTGTGAAAAAAGTGATGCAGAAATCTAGTTTGTGCTAAACACACTGCTTTATTTTTACAACCCATGTCTGCTTTCATGAGAGAAAAAAAAGATAAATGAACAGGCAGTCTTTGTTTTGCTTTTCAAAAACATTTTGTAGAGATTTTTCACTAATGTGAATCTGAAATTTTATCTACTCAATTCTGTATAGATTAAGTAAATAAGTATGCTTAATATATTGGACTCTGGGTTTTTTTTTAACATCCTATTCGTGCCCGACTTGCTTTACTCTGCACTCTGACTGTATTTGTTTAAGAATTCAAGAATACAAATGAAGAGGTGGAATTGAGGGCCAAGTGTGTTGTTCAGAGCCGGTCTGCGCAGGGTCAGCGGTGCCCAGCGCCCCTGGCACCGGGCGATGCTGCTGCGAGGAGCCGCTGCCCCTCGTGGGGCCCTGTGGTGTTGCCCTCCCTCAGCGTTGCTGCTGCCTTCCCGGGCACTGCMGTTGGAAAGCACTCTTCCCTTGTGTAGGCATTTTCCTAGGTAGGATGTCATAGTGTTTTATCACAGCACACTGTTACGTGTCCTCTGGGACACTGTGAAGATGGCATTTTGAGCAAAAATGCAGGTCACCCAATTCATCTTGGAAGAGATGAATCATATGGGCCTTTGCCCCTGAGCTTTTCCTAAGTATTCAAGAATCTAGGTGTAATGCCTTGCTGTCCATGTTCTAGGTGTTTGTTCCTTCAGAGCATTCCCTGAGATGAGGCCTTTTTTTTTTCCTCAAAAAGGTGCTTCCTCAAAAGGTGCTTTCCTCAAAAGGGTGCTGCCCCCCTATATAAACCTCTCTTCTTTTACTACGTTTACCTATACAGCATTCGCATCTACTAGTGGTTCCTCATCCTCACAAAACTTGCTATATTCATCTCTAGCAAAATCTCATCAATTTGGCTGTATGTCTCACTAAGAGACCTAATCGCTCTCTACCGCTACCTGAAAGGAGGTTGTAGTGAGGCGGGGGTCCATCTCCACAATAACTACTGCAAGAGAATTGGATGTGGAAGAATGTCAAGGATATTGGTGATGGGGACTGCCCACGCTGTTGGCTGTTGTGTGGTACGCTCGGCTTACAGTCATGTCCCATACGCCACACACACAGACTCCATTCGTTTTTGTTCATTGTACCTCCTGATGCTTACATGCTGTTTACCCAGTATTAGCACCAATCAAATTGTAGCACGGAACAATCACGTGCTCAGAGTAGTTGTGTAAGAACATAGATTGCCTTTTCCCCCACCTGTTTCTCACCACGGACCAGTGCTAAGCGCTGCCTGGGATTTTCCTATGGCTGTCTTCCTCCTGCTGGGAAACTGGGGAGCCCGCATGCAGAAGTGGAGGTAGGTAATGAAAGCCTTAACCCTGTGTGCCTGGTCCTGCTGGATGCCCAGGAGACTGTGTCATCATCCGGTCCTTATAGCTCAGACAGGAGGAAATGGCCCCAAGCTGTGCCATTTAGATTAGGCATTAGGAAAAATTCCTACACAGGAGGAGTGCTGGAGCATCAGAACAGGCTGCCCGGGGAAGTGGGGGACTCACTGTTCCTGGCGGTGTTCAAGAAACGTGTAGATGAGGTGCTTAGGGACATGGCTTAGCAGCCAAGGTGGTGAAGGGTTTACAGTTGGACTCAATGATCTTGAAAGTCTTTTCCAACCATAATGATTTTATGAAAATACATTTTTCAAAATTACTGTCTCCTCTCTGGTGCACATGTGTGTTGCCCTTAACTCTTCTATCTTGTGAAGAGTAGCTTTGAGGTGAGAACTCCTTTCACTGGGCTGCATACTGGACATTTTGTTCTGTTCTTAACAAACAGCAAGCCTTGCACCTAGCCTAAGACTTGACCAAGACCCCTGTTCTTAAATGCTTCAAGAAAGCAAGCACTTCAGGCATCTAAGAACTTCCATCTCTCTCTTGGGGTATTTACTCAAGCCAAAAGAGGTTAATGGAAGCCCCCCACTTCCTTAACGTTCCTTGTTTCTCTCCTGTCATGCCAGGTGCACTGTGGTCATGACAGTAACTGTAATAAAGGCCTAAAGTGATTAAACCTTCATATAACAAATGGTACTCAAGACCAAACTCCTCCTACTTTTTAGGGTCTTTGCATGCAGCAGTAAAAGCGGCACCACTAAAACAAACGCAGTTCTCCATCTACAGGAAAAAAATAGGAGAACCCCCCCAAATTCTTTTAGTCTCAGGGAAGCCAAAATGAAGGAAAAGGCTGTGCTGTCTCAGTTTGGCCATGGGCTGGGTATCAATCTTCTAAACAATTTCAGTATCCATTAGCCTTGGCCATTTTCAACTATTTATGCAAAAATTTTCACTTTTCAAAATCATGTTTGAATCAGTTGGCGATACAAACCTTCAGCTCCTCAAGGAAAAGAAAGAAAAAAACCCACACCCAGTAGAAAAATATTGTGATGTGGACCAGGAAGATTGGCTTTAAAAGCRACAACCGAGTTGTAGCTCTGTAATAGACGCCTACGTGGTTGCTCCACTGCACTTACTGAGCACTGAGCTGAAGCATGCAGTGGCTGGCACTAGACAGTGCAGCTGAACCTTACAAACCCTAGCAAAATAGTTTGTAACTGCAGTTTCAGGAAGCTGTATATTTTTTGTTATTTTCTTTTTTTTTCAGTTAAAAGATGAATGAAACAATTCAGATTTAACTCTTCTGCTAAAAAAAAACTGCATAAAACATATGCAGAGTTGAGGGCAAGTGCAGAAGCCACTGTAAGCTGGCAACACTTCACTTCCAATTTCCCTTCGTAGCTTTTGCTACGGTCTCTGCTTGCACTTGTGCAAAGAGCTAGGGCAAAGCTGGTTGGGTGACTGGTATTTCTGAACGCGCAATACACTATTTGCTTGAAAATAAGGGATAGTAAAAAGCAACCTTACTGTCTTCACCTCTTTCCAGTGCGTATCAACCTGCAGGAATAGCAGTTTGGTGAATTAAGTACACTTAATAAGCACCAAATTAATAACCTAAAGCAGCTACTGTTTAATAAATTAAAAAACAACAAAAAAATAAGGCCATTCATTGTTCAGGTTTGCCATTTTATTTTTTTTAAATACTTCAAATCCCATTATTCTCATTACTAAGTGCCATTCCTAAACACTCTTATGACAGCAATCACCAACTTTTAAAAGCAAATTATAAAGGTATTCAGGTATGTATATACATATACATTTTAAAAAATATGCCCTTTTTAATGTTTCACAAATATTTTACAAAGGCAAATAAAAAGTATAGGACTTCCTGTAAATCAACTTGGTGTTAACAACCAACTGTCTTGGCAGCACATTCTCAGTAATGAAAAGGTTTAAGGTAACAAGATGTAGTAACTGACATTCTGGCTGCATGAACAGGCTGTGGGGCCAAGCTCTCCTATGTCTAGCTTTATAAGGCTTGCAAAATTTTGCTACATGTTTAAGGAAAATCTGTTTTCAACTTGGACTTTGGGAAAATCACTTTAGAGGCTGCATTTTCTGCAATAGTTGTAACAAGGAAGAATTAAGCATGCTTTATGAAGAATTGAGCTTTATACTTTGTTAGCATGTGCAGTATTAGACTTTGAACTACATGAATGCTGGTATGTTTGAATTTACACTCTCATTTTCTACTAAAAATGGCTTTATGGGTCCTGCTGCCACTCTCAACCCTCACCTTTGAGGTGCAGGAGAGCAGGCAGTCCCTGGGGAGGTGGCTCTGGTGAGGAAATACCACGTCCACTATTGCCTTCCACTCACAAACAGCCACTGCCTCTGTGTCCTCACATCCTCAAGGMTGCAACCAGGGCACTGGCTGCGACCCAGGCTGAGGGGACAGGCCCCTTCCTGGCACCCAGCCCCTGCCTGCCCATTCAGCCAACCTGGGTCTAGAAGGAGGCAACAGGAGCTTGTGGGAAACAGAAGCGAGCAGCTCAGAGCTCCCACTAGGCCTCTCAGGCTTTCAGTATCCTGCATCAGGAACATGACCAGCCACCTTCAAAACAGCCACCCACCCTCCCCCGCCTCTAGGCTTTTAAAAATGACCCAATCCCCTTGCCCTGCCTTGCCAAGCATCTTCGTGCTATAAGAGGCACGCTGCCCTCTCGCTCCCCCAGAAACAGAGTCAGAAAGCCGAAGTTGGAGGCCCTGGTGGAAGAGTGTCTCCAAAACCCCCTCTCTCTTCATTTGAGGTCAGGGYGCAACGGAAGACAAGGACCCATGGACTGACACTGCTCCCTCTGTGCCAAAGGCAGCACCTGGCCTTAGCAGCGGGTACCACCCCACACACTGGGGGCTGGCAGTCAAATCCACCTCCACTTAGCAAATAAATCCTCCTCCCCTGCCTGGACATGATACTGATGCGTTTTTAACATATGACCATTAGCAATTAGAATGGACCTTGGTTAAATGGATAGTGCTGAGGGGCCTTCAGCAGCTTTGACCTTTCACTGTGTTGAGCATACTCTCCCACCCTGCCTTTTATCTTATTTATAGTAAGATATAAGCTCCAAATTAAATAGCTTTAGTATCTGCAGAAATTAAGACTCCTTTCTCCTGTGACAGCTATATYCAAGCAAAAACACTCACAAGAGACAACAGTTAAACATATATTTTATGTAATAAATTTTATTTATCTAAAGCCAATCAGAAAGTGCTGTGTAAAAGTGAAAAACTTTTTACATAGTGATAAAAACTTTTATTTGAAAATTCACTGCAAGAAGAGTGAGCATTTAGCTGTCTTATTTACAGGGTGCTACTAAGCTAAGTTGGTTTAAAAATATAGACATAAGTATTCAGCCCTTCTCCTCTTCCCTAGAAGCTAAATGCTGTACAGTATACAACAGCCAGAGCGCCCAGAACCCAGAATCTCTCATTGCATCTTGGCTATACAAGCCTTTTGTGCCTGACAAAAATCAAGCATTGGGAAAAAGCATTACAGCCAAACAGGAATAGTCTTAACGTATATAGCACTCGGATTATATTCCTATGCCACAGAACTTCCTTAAGGAAGAAAATTTACGTTCCTTGACCTTCCAGTTCTGCTGCAGCTATATCCGGTTCTTCATCATTGTAAATGTTTTCTGCCTAAAGACACAAATTACTTCATTTCAGAGACAGATCTGATTTTTAAATAATATTTTACACTTACTGTAGTAAAACCATGACAATCCCAGTAAGGTACAGAGATCATCAACATCTTAAGGATGCCCTTTTCCTGCCTTTCCTTCAAAGGCAGCCACTTTTAGGAATGTATATACAGTAGCTCTGCAGCAGCAGTTGCGCTCCTGTATTATCATATTTCAGGATAATGAACTTTATCCTTTCACTTCTTTACCATGGACACTTGGTTCTGTGATTTATTTCAACCCCAGCCTGAATACACATGACAAGTTTAAGAACAGTTATTTTAAAAGTGGAAAGACCAACCTGTGGCACACATTTAAGTCTGCTAYAGTTTCATCTAAAGATGAGGCTTGAATTACTTTTAAGGGATTTTATTCTGTCTTTATAGGGATTTGATCAATCATGTTGCAGTGTAAAGTAATATGAACTGTATGCAGAGCTAGAAGGCATCTGGGCTGGCATCTTTGTTCTTATTAACTAGCAACTAAGACTTTGAGGAAAAAAAGAATAATTACCTGTAAATACCAGATGCATTTAATGGCATTGTTTTAGCATTTATTTTCTTTGAAAGCCCTATTCTCCTTTCAAATAGTACAAAAAAAATATAAAGCTCTTTTCAGTCAGTGAAGACACAAGCTGTCCTAAAGACAAGCCATCCTGATTTAATCTATGTAATCAGCTTCAGAGCAACTCAAGAGCTGTTTTGACACTCACCATTTGCCATATTTGCATTATGTTGTCCTCTGATACAGAACAGATTACCCAAGGCTCATTAGGATTCCAACTGAAGTCAGAAATTTTGGCAGTGTGTCCTCCATGAATAAACTGTTAAAGCAAACAAATGAAAAGCAACATCAGGGAGATATTCCATCTCTAGAGAAAATCTGCCTAAAATGAAGATTCGGAAGTTAAACTCTTTCTACTAATGACTTCACAAAGAGGAAAAGCTTGCTATTACACACTCATGATAAGGTGCAAAGGTGGGCATGAAATAATTYATTTACTACTTACAGACACAAATGAAACTACTGAGGCATCATTAAAAGACAGCTTGTTATTACAGCAACAGCTGATGGACATCCTTGAAATGCAGCCACTTCACAGGGTTGTAACACCATGAAAACCCATTTTCTCACCTTGTTATGTAACTACTCACACAGTTACACAGCAAATGGGGAAGTTAAAGTCGAGCATTTCTAACCTTTTCCCTAAGGAAACAAAACTAAGCCTTTGACTTTCTACAGCAGTAAGATCAGCTACCTCACCAGTCTAACAGAAGATAAACAAGTGGAGGCCTTGGCTTTACCTGCTTTCAATATAAAGGTGTGTTGACGCGGTCAAAGTCTGCATATAGCCAACACTGAGGAAGTTTTACACATCCTCACATCTGGCCAAAAGAGCTTTGACCACCACTGCCTTCTRCATCAAAGGCAGGTACCTAGCTGCTGCTAGGTACAACAACGATCAGTAGTTGAGGGGGCAAAAAGACTTGGGAGATGGCTGCAGCAACGGGTTGATGGGTAGAGATAAACAAGAGCATACCAGAAGTTCAGGAGGTCCATCCTCTGCATCCTCTGCAGACTGCTCTTCTCCAATTTTGCTGCAATAAAGTAAGCTGTATCTTTTAATAAAAAGCACTGCATCCCATCTCAATATAACTTACTAGTCCTTAGCAGTGGCTGGCTGTATTTGCTTTTTCTATTTCTCTCACTGTCRAAGAATTTTAAATCTCAGGTACAGAGTATCAACTGCTGGGTGTTATTTCTACGGAAAGAGCAACTTTCCTGTGAAGCACCTTGAGGCAGGAATCACTTATTACTAAAGATAACAGAAAAGAGGTTCAATAAAAAAAATGAAAAGTGGTTCAATAAGGACAAGTGCAGGGTCCTACACCATAACCCCAGGCATCAATACAGATTAGGGGTCRACCTGCTGGAAAGCAGCTCCACGGAGAGGGGCTTGGGAGTCCTGGTTGACACCAAGTTAACCATGAGTGAGCAGTGTGCCCTCGTGGCCAAGAAGGCCAATGGCATCCTGGCTGCCTCAAGAGGAGTGTTGGCAGCAGGTGGAGGCAGGGGATCCTGCCCCTCTCCTCAGCTCTGGTGAGGCTGCACCTGGAATACTGGGGGCAGTTCTGGGTTCCCCAGGACAAGAGGGACATGAAGCTTCTAGAGAGGGTCCAGCRGAGAGCGACAAAGATGATTAAGGGACTGGAGAATCTCTTGTATGAGGAGAGACTGAGTGAGTTGGGTCTGTTTAGCTTGGAGAAGAGAAGGCTGAGAGGGGATGATTAACATGTACAAGTACATGAAGGCAGAWTGCAGGGAAGAAGGGACCAAGCTCTTCTCATTGGTGGCCAGTGACAGGACAAGGAAAAATGGGCATAAGTTGCAACACAGACAGTTCCATCTCCATGTGAGGAAAAACTTCTTCACTGTGAAGGTGACAGAGCCCTGGCACAGGCTGCCCAGGGAGGTTGTGGAGTCTCCTTCTCTGGAGGTCTTCCAAACCTGCCTGGACGCCACCCTGTGTCACGTGCTCTAGGTGTCCCTGCTGGAGCAGGAAGGTTGGATTAGATGATCTCTAGAGGTCCCTTCCAACCTTAAACATTCTGTGATTCTGTGAAAACAATATCTGCTAAAAAAAAAAAAATCTTTATTTGTAAGCTTAGCCCAAGTTAACTAACCAAGCAAAGCTAAGAGAACAGCACAAATGAAGCCTACCAAATAGAGTAGAACTGCTGCCTTGTATTACCTTCTGTTCATAGCTATTAAACGAAAGAAATTGCTCTTCACCTTAGATCCCATACATTAAGCCGACGATCAGTACCACTTGAAGCAAGAATTGTTTCATTATGAGGGGACCAGTGCACCTGTTGAAAGGCAGTAGTTAACTGAAGCACAATTATTCTAAAGCATATYCTGACCATTACTTTTCAATAACTGAACTCAAGGAGTTAGGTTCCTCCAGCAAAGCATGTCCTAGAGCTTGAGCAGAATGCTTAAGATTTCTCCAAACCAACAGCTAACATTTCCCTTTTAGGCTTTTACCATGTCACAAAACTTAAGCGTCTAAAAGTTGCTCTTACTTGCACAGTGCTCACTAAAGGTCACAGCAGTAGGTCTGAACCCACATCCTCTCTACAGGAGGACATTTTAGAGAAACCTTCTAGTCATACTGAGTAGCTGTAAGTGCCCAGTGATTTTTTTTTTTTTTTTTAAACAGCAAGTTGTTGACTACTCGCTTCAAAGTAAAATGGGTTTGGGTAGAAACACATGGCCCTGTCTGTATTTACTGAGCCAAAACTCAGTATTCTACATTTAATATATCTAATTTAYTGAGGGTAGTCACTACACAAAAAGCCACCTGTCCATCTGTTTTTGTCCAAGTCACTACTCTTGTAGTTTTTGTAAGAGGCCATGAGAAAAGTTTACCCTACCCACCTGAAAAATTTCATCCTTATGAGACTCAAAAGAATGAAGTTTCAATTTTAAGTTTCGAAGATCCCACAAAGCCACGGTCTAAGAGAAGGAACAGAAATTGTTTATATTATAATGGCTGTAGAACTGCTATCTAGAATAAACATAAATGTAAAGTATATACAAGTAAAAACCTTGTCAGCGGAGCCAGTTGCTAGAATAAACTCGCTGTAAGGATTGAAGGACAGGCAGTTGACCTCAGCTGTGTGAGCATCTACACAGTGACTTGGCTTAGATGTAGTATTAGATCTTGTGTCCCAGCTGCCAAGATAAAGGTTAGGGGAGGAAGGAGACAGAACACTGAAGAGTCAAGAGAAAACAAATGATTTTTCAGATGAGGGTTCCCCCAACCCTAACCTGAGCCACCCTGTGTCTATTGTTACTTACACTAGTCTGAAGTTACAGTTTTTAAATSAGTTAACTGTTAGAACTCATGTCTGTTGTACACAAAAAGTACATTAATAGTTCACATCACAGAGCTTAAATACATGTTAATTCCATTTTAATCTCTCCCTCAAATATACACACACATACTATGCAGATTTCTGAGATCTTGCAGCATTACTACCGTTGACAATGTTTGAGAGATGCATTAAACCATTCTATAATGCAGATTTTTATGATTTTCCAGAGTACTCTGGATTGGTCCACCACACACAACAAGCACTGCTCAAATTGCTTAACCCTGACTTACATCATTAGCTTCTGATCATCAGCCACAGATCCAAAGAGAGATTCATGGAGGAGATGCCAAGCCACATCTTCTACAACTGCAGAATGCCCAGTAAAGATGGCTTTTGCATCAACAACTTTGCCTTCTTTTGGTCCTGCATTTATATCCCATAAACAGACAGTCTGCAAATAAGAGCCATATTGTGTCATTACAGTAGTTTTATCTGTCATCTTTCAAAAGAAGGAAAGAAATCACACTTTATATATTCTTTATATTTTTGGAGAGAGGGGGAGTGAGGGGGGAGCGATTCCTGAAAAAGTCTTTGTTTTTGAAAAAAAAAAACATCTACTGCACCAAAAGTGGGAACTCAGCTGAACTACTTTATCAAGTCTCTGTAGGTTCAAGGCCCCAAATTTATTTCTAAGCAGCCACAAAAGCAATTTAAGCAATTTACAAAAAGCAGCTCAATGGCAGTAGCTCACATTTCACTTAGAAAGCCATAAAAAGTTAACTGTTTAGTTCAATCCAATATTAACCTTTGAGAATCTTACTAATTTTATGGTCTCAGAACTAAACTATTCTGTTCTTACTTCACCCAGGACAGTTATCAATTACAGGCAAAAAGACAAAATAAAACTACCCATAGCTGACAACAGCCTTAATAAATATTACTGTGCTAAACTATGCAAAACCTTCCCCAAGCAACAATAAAAAGGCACAGCAATGCAGTTTTRCCACAATTATCTATTATAGCATAAATTGAAATATTTTAAGGAGATCATTATTTTTACATGGTCATCTGATGCACTCAGAAGATGTCCACTCAAATTGGAGTTCCATGATAAGCCATATCCTTCTTTCAGGTGCCCTCTTAATCTAAGATCAGGATTGCACTCTCCACTTGTGTCTGAAAGAGAAATTCCTTTCATGTAGCTTAATCCTCCACATCAATCCATACAAGCATCATTATCAAAAGAACTTTGTTTGGAGTTGGAGAAATAGTGTTTTATGCAATCAATCTCATAAGAGATGCTGAGTAATGATATTAAACATAACCAAGCACCTAAAGTCACTGAAGTACTGGGCCATCCTACTCTGATTCCAGATCCCTCCTCTCAATTACTGTCAAATTGAGATTTATTTCTCAACACCAAGAGACATTTTGCACAGTTTGAGGGAATTTGACAAACCTGGTTTTGAAGGATGTTTAGTGTAATCAAATACCAACACATCAGCAGATGGCGTTTTTGTAGCGATGATGGAGGGATTCTGAGGCATGTAACGAGCCCGATTTACTTCGCCTTCATGGTTAATTTTAATCTCCGTTTCAATTTTGCCAGTCACAGATCCAAAGCCACCAAACTCTGCATTTGTCATAAAAAAGGTCWGTTTAATCATATCAGTTATTTCAACCAAGTTAACAGCACTTCCGGCTTCCCCCCATTTCAAGCAGCAGTGGCAAGCATCTTAACAGAGCAATATGGTAAGGCCTGTGGAAAACTAGCACCACATGGCACCACAGCATTAACACTTTAATCAACTGAAATCCTCTGAAATAAATTCTATTTGAATAGTAGTTTATTCAAGTTAGGTGCACTTCAGTTTTCAGCAAAAGCCACAGATCTAGCACAGATGCTGACAATGTATACCACAACTTTACTTAAGTTCTTTTGAAAGAAGCAATTTCTCCTTTTATATTGCTATGAGCAAGGTAGAATTACTGCAAACTGTTGTCCAGCCATGTCACTTTTACTACTCAAGAAGAAATTAGAATACCATCAAACAGGACATCTGTTAGTGCTACTGCCAGAGCCCCAAAGACTGCATGCAGAGCCCACCTCCTTTCTCACTGTCATACTGAGAGGTGTCAAACTGATCATCATTGGGAATCTGGACTCTTGCAACAACCAGGTGGTTCTGCTCATCAGAGGTGTGTGTTCCCAAAACCAGCCAGTGCAGAGCATAATCCTTTCCTTCTGGCCTGTTTGAAAGTAATAAGAACACAGAACAAAAATAAAATGCTCAGTTACAGAAGCTTGATTGGCGTCAGTAACATTGAAGATCCAAACTTCTTCAGGSTGCTTTAGAAACAAAGAAAAACACTAAATGTACACGCACCAAAAATAAGCGTGTGCACACACACACAAAGATTCAAGAGATTCCTTTCTTTACCACAACACATTTGTTAATTTACAAGTGAACTGAATTATTTGACATCAGAAAGCCAAGGATACATCCAACAAGCCAAGAGTGTCAATGCAAATACACTGGTACTATTGCTTGAGTTGGATAATTAAGGTTTGCCTATTAATCACAGGCAATTTAGTATCTTCTATTTTTAGTCTTCCTTGTAATCTCATAATATTAATTCAGAAGACAAACAATTCTGTTTTGAAAAGTGAAAAGCAGCAACCTATATCAATTAATTACCAATTGGTAAAAGCTTATTGATAGGAAATTGTTACAGTTTTCAAAACACCATTTTTAAACACTGTACAAATCCTAGTTAATTAAGTTTCTTTTGATGATTAAAAGCGATGTTTAGTAACAATCTAGCAATAAGTGAAAGAGCAGAGAGACAGTGTCATACATCCGTGAAAGGAAAATTAGAACACTTGAACAAAAAAYAAACTACTTCTGAAAGCATTAATTCTGCTGTTGGAACCCAAGCAAAGAGTAAACAGGAATCATGTGCACCAATCAAAACCACTACAGATATTATTAATTACACCTCTTCCAGAGCATCACTGTATGTTTTTAGGGGAAGTAAAAAAATAAAAAAGCACGCAATGCACACACACTTACTTGTATCAGGAATAGCTGTCCCATCATGTCAGGTGTCATACAAAGAGAGAGTCCTTGCCTTAAATGGCTTACATATTTTGACACTGGATAATTGGAAATATCACGTTTTTAACTGAATATTAAGTCAATCTGCAAAATATGAGGCAAGCAGAAGTGTTCCTCATAAGGGCTCCATACCCTCAAAAAAACTCCCCACGTCATTTTCTCCAAGCCATGATTACTTAGCTCACATCTCTCTACATCTTCCCCATACATTGTSGCACACAGATTCAAGTGATCACCTAACCACCAAGGTTAACACCACTTATGTCAGTGGAATTTTACAAAGAGGCTCTCCTCCAGTAATTGTATGAATTTTAAGGGTGCCCTCTGCAGTATTAATTTGTAGCTTTTTTTCCCCCCTTTTTTTCTTCTTCACAACTGTCTATCCAAGGTGTTTTGAGAGCCACAAGCTAAACTCTTACAAGCTTACTGAAAGAGTTCTGTCCCCTTCTCTTGTGGCTCCACCTTCCGAGCTACCTAGCGGCCGTTGCGCACACAGAGGGAAGTGGCAGCAGCAGGAGAAGGTTTGTCCCTCCCCCGGGCAGCCCTCTCACCTGGTCACGTCGGGCAGCCACTGCACCGTGAGGCTGGGCCACTCCAGCGCGTGCGTCATCACCAGGTCGTAGAGGAAGGGGGTGTTCTTCTTCCAGATCTTGTACTCCTCGCTGATGACGCGCTCCTCCACCGTGTCCTCCAGCGCTGCGCGGGAGGCGGCCAGAAACAGCTGAGCCAACGGCGTAGCGCGCGCCGCGCCCGCCCGTTACGGCCGTTACCAGCGGGGAGGGGAGGGAGCTCTGTGAGGAGCAGCCGGGGGAAAAGCGACCGTTACCCGCACCCTACCCACCCCGCTCCCTCCTCGCTGCCGCCCCAGGCAGCCCGGGTTGGGGAGAAGAGGAAAGCGGGGATGGGAAGGAGTTTCCTACCTTCCCTGCTCGCCATTTTGGGCGAGCGCGCGAGGCGACGGGTAACGGCAGCGGAGGAGGGGCGCAGACGCGGCACCGTCCCGCCCACGCCTCGCACCGCCCCAGCGCATGCGCCGCGAACGCCCACCACGCCGGCCAATGAGGAGGGCGAGAAGGCTGCGCGCGCGCCCAGCCCACGCGTGGGGGTGGCGGCGGCGCCGCCTCCTCCCCCTCCCTCAGCGGCCGGGGGACCGCAACGGTCGGTGGTGGCCGTTGGGAGCCCTTTGTCCCCACGAGGTGCTCCGCGATCTCGCTGGGCACGAACGGCTCCCTCGGCGAGTAGATGTGCAGAGCAGGAGGAGGAGCCAGGGCTTGGCGCGAGTGTGCGGCTTTTTATTCAGAATAAATAAATAAATAAATGCCAAGATTGGCGTGGATACGGTTATGCCGCGAGGTGGGGCTTTAAGGAAAATAAACCACTATCAGTGCTGCTGCCGCCACTGTGAGTTAGCTGGTTCTTTTTTTTAACCACATTTAAAGGCGTTACAGAGCACCCCCACCAGCTTGTGGAAGAAAGTGCCTCAGAGCTGTTAAATGCATGAATTTGATGCTCGTGATCTCTTCACCACGAATTTGAAACTGCTGAAAAGATAAAATTTATTAAAAAAAAAAAAGGACATCTTTGCCACCGAGAAGCCCCTACGAAAGCCATTTGTCATAATGCAGTAGTGCATAATGCAGTGCATGAGAAACAGAGGSCCCACGTTTAATAATCAAGCTCAGCTGCTTGGAGAGCACCCCAGGAGCAGCCCGGCCTGTGGTACTGACAGCCCTCCCGACCCTGCGCTGCTGAGAGCACAAGCCCTTTCCCTCTTAATAACCAGAAGAATGAATGTGGGTATTGCCAGAAAACAAAATGCGAAGTGCTCCCAACAGCACCTCTGCTGTTGGTCAAAGTACCAAAATACCATTTTTCTTCAGCAAGGGGTAAAATAAAAATTCAAAACTTGGGAAGCATTGAAGTCTGTACAGCACTCAGGAGTAGATAAAGAACAAAAGCCTTATTATAGCTCTGTCTTTGTTGTTGTTGCTGTTACTGCAACTGAGGCAGACTTGCTGAATGTGGAATCACTGATTGCACATTGGAGGTGGAAACTGGGGAAAACAGCTGAAAAGGGGGCCTAACTTGTCAGTTTTCATGAACAGACCAATGCAGTCAAGGAACAGAAAAATGAAAACTAATGGACTCTTTCTACAGAAATGCCCCAAATACAGGATAYTTCCTTTCACCAATCAGAAGTGGTAACTCAGTTGCAAAAAAAGAAAAGAACAGCTGACATATTTAGCATAAGCTAAAAAATAAATCTCAGCAGGAATTAAAAATATGTAAAATAAGCAGAGGCGGCTAGGTTAGTGAAGCTGCTGGGTTAGAGGGGAAAAAGCAGAAGGCRATGAGGAAGAGAGAGCAAGGCGACGCGCCAGGCTGCAGCGGTGCAGTGTGCACTTCGGCCGTCTCCGCGGGCGGTGGCACTACCCTGACGTCGGACAGCTACACAGCCACGCGCAGGCTGCAGGGGGAGGCCACACAGGATGAGATCTCCGCTGCTTTGCACAAGAAGCAGCGCCYGGCCGCAGAAGTGTTTTGGKTTTTTTTTGTCTTGCTCCGTATTGGTTACACCCTATACTGGTCTATGCACGTGTGTCTGGGGCGCTGGTGGTGAAACGGAGATTTCCTAGAGATCTAGCAGTTATCAGGTAGCCTTTGTACATCTGAAAATAACTTAGGTGCAACAACAAAGAATGGTAGTAGACATTATTTAGCATGTCTCAAATATTAAGCCTTAAATTATACTTCAAACKCAGATACTAATCCCATTTTACAACCCCAAAAATATACGTAAAAAGAGTGGTTACAGAGACCACTGCAAAATACTCTTCCACAGTGGGGTTGACGATATGTTGTTTTATTTTATTTGCAACAAGAAATACCTGTTTGACAGATTTTTTCGTTGCAATAAAGTCATGCAAATAAACACAATTGCATTTTTGAATTCCCACTCACATGATAGCAGTCAGAATTACAAAAGTTTTACATGTTGGAGTTTTCTCTTAGAGTCTGTAGTACCATCTGATTAATGTGGTGAGTGACACAGCTTCTTGTGTCAGAGTGACACAGTTGCATAGAAATAGGTGTACGGCTTTAGCATACACCTCACACACAACCTTTYTCTGCTCTCTCCTTTCATCTACTGCTAACCAAAATGCCGTTCAATTTAACTGCTTTCTAATCAGCTTGAGTAAACAGCACTTGACTCATAAAATAGACTTAACCAGAGCAGATCTTGAGGGCAGCTAATAACATCTTCCGACAGAATAGTGGAAATAAAGGCAGCTAGAAGTGAGACTAAAATCACCCAGCTGCTTCAGTTTTAAACTCAGGAAGCAGAATCCTGCACTGCTAAGGCCTTGAGCCCCAGGAGGTGCTGGAGTTAGCTCTGCAGCACAGTTCCTTGTGCTCAGCAGGCAATAGAGTGGCAAAAGAGAAGGAAAAGCACAGTGAAATGAGAACTAGCATCTATATTCACTCTGTGAGCAACCCTTCATGGGCTGATCCGTCTATGATCCAGGCCCCAGTTTTTCAAAGAAGGAATCCAGTTATGGAAAATGTCTAGGGGAGGCTTGGCAGCACCAACGCTGGTAATAGCAACCAGGGGTTGTAGCACAGGAATTGGAGGAGGCTGAGATAAACAGCCAGCTCCTAAACACAAAGTGTTTGTAATTTGCCATTCCTAAATAGGCCAGAGAGTTGAAAGCAGAATTGTTCTGGTGAAGAAGCAAAATAACCATTTATCTATCTTCTTGAATGTACACAAACCAGAATTGTGTTAAAGCTATGTATTAAAATGAATGCATTTATTATTTATTTATTTATTATTATTATTAATAATTATTTATTGAAATGCATGTTATGTATTTAGTGAAAAAGAATTATGTTGAATTAACTGGAAGCTGTGGAATAATTTGCTGCATAGGAGTGCACTAATGGGTATAGTAACGCAGACTGGGGCCTTGATCATACAAGGTAAGATAGCAATTTGCTTTTGGYAACACTTACTACTTGTTTTGATATCTCCTGCCAAGTACATGTCTAAACCTACAAAGTGCTGTAGCACTCCTAAAATACTAGGAGAGTGAAGATTGAGCTTTTTAGAGCCTGCATGTTGTTACAGAGTGTTGATCTGCTAAATGCTGATACTGAACAAAGGAAATCTCGCTCAGTCTTCTTGGCTCTAAGAGAGCTCTGTTAGCTCGCACTGAAGCTTAATTACATGGCCCTTCGGAAGATTCAACATTTGGGTGGGATTTTGTGTGTGTGTGTTTCACTTAAAGAGCAGCGTTGTTTTGGCGTTGCTTGCCTGGAATATGGTAGGCAAATGTGATTTATTTTTGGGGAATGGTAAGCAAAACTGCCTTTCAATGATGTCATGTAGGACTTGATTAGACTATGAATTAAGAGGGGCATTCTCCTCACCACSAGTTTTGGTAGACTCAATATAGGCTCTGCAAGTCAAGTTACATTTTAGTGCAACTAAATGAAGCACTGGTACTGCTCTTGAAGAGCAGTACCAGTTTTGGTGAACAAAATCTGTTGCACCTGTTTATCACAGTAGTCTGTAAGTGACCTGTGCAATTGTCTTTGCCTTCATTAGCAATTATACTTGCACCCAGACAAATTTTATTTTAACTTATATGCAAGCACACCAATAATCTTGCTACTAAGTGCTTTTCACTCATCAGGATTGCCATGAAAAAGGAATTTTACAAACATTACAGCTATCAGAGAATGCTTATCAGCCATTTAAGGTTGGATATTTGCAATTCATCAGCATYATTCATAACTGTGACCAAACATTTAAAGTATACCCTTTAATTCCAGCACTTTGTAATGGAAATAATTATTGAATGCCATTGTTGATCACATTCAGTGTGTAAAATGAATCGTAAATTAGTTGTGAGGTACAACGACTTGAACTATAAGCTACCTTTTACTAAGATACAATTTTCCAAAACTGAGCATGAAATGCTGTATTTTCATTTCAGTTAAAAAAAAAAAAAAAAAAGTTTTGTGCATTCTTGATTGTATGTGCTGCATCATGCATCACATCACCAGAAATACTTGTGAGGAAATATCTGCACTTAGTAATTTTCAGCTTCAATATCTATGCTGATTTATTACTCAAAAAAAAAAAATTGCAGGCTTGCTGACACTTACAGCTTGTACATTATGTGGAGAAGATGAATGTTCAAATAAGTAAGTAGATGCAGATATATCATGAGTGACTATCTCAATTAGAAAATTGCTTAAAGAAAATTGTTAAAAATTGCAATTAAATCTGTGCAAAAACTTAAAAGTGAGCGCTGGAAACGTAAAACAGTCCCAGCATTTAGTATTCTCTAATGTGTTTATTATCATTACACAATTTTGAGGGTTTGCTTATAATAAAGCATCATTTTCCTCAAGCATGCAGATAAGCAAAGAATGCCTCAGATAAATTGATGCAACCTCCTTTCAGATAGTATAGAGAGCAACAAGGTCTCCTCYGAGCYTCTTCTTCTCCAGACTAAATAACCCCAGGTCCTTCAGCTAGCCCTTACAAGGCTTATGCTTCAAGCCCTTCACCAGCCTAATTGCCCKTCTTTGGACATGTTCCAGCACCTGAATATCCTTCTTCTAGTGAGGGGCCCAAAACTGAACAGAGTATTCAAGCTGCAGCCTCACCAGTGCTGAGTAGAGGAGGATGATCACTTCTCTAGTCCTGTTGGCTACACTGTTCCTGATACCAGCCAGGGCACTGTTGGTTTTCTTGGCCACCTGGGCACACTGTTGGCTCATGTTCAGCCACCTGTCAATGAACACTCCAACATCCTTATCTGCCACACAGCTCTTCAGCCATTCTGGAGAGTGTAGCACTGCATGGGGATGTTGTGACTGAGAGCATGGGGATGTTGTGACCGAACAGCAGGAGCCAGCATTTGGCCTCGTTGAACCTCATACAGTTGGTCTCAGCCCATC